ACATTGTACCAGTGTGGCAAGGCAGGACGTTTAGCTACACAGAGAAACCCTGTCTCGAAAAACCAAAAAAAAAAAAAAAAAAAAAAAAAAAAAAAAAAAAAAAAAAAGACAGGAGATCTCACTATGTGGCTCTGGCTGGCCTCTCACTGTGTAGATCAGGCTGGATTTGAACCCACAGAGATCTGCTTGCTTCTGTCTCCAGAGTGCTGGGATTAAAGGTGTGTGCCACCACACCTGGCCATGTTTGGCTTCTTTAAAGTCTCTCTGGAGGAAGGGAAGAGAGATCAGTATACACCCCCCTTTACCACTGCAGCTTGCTAGGGGGGAGTGGCAGGAAGTTAGGGGCAGGCCCAGTCAGCCATCTTTCTATCCTAGAGCTCAGCTTTGCCCCACAAGGGCCCCCTTTTGACTTCTAACCTACAGGCCTCCCACCCAGCAGCAGCCACTCACACTCCTGGCTTTTCAAGGGCAGCTTGTAGGCCAATGTCAAGGCCCGGGGGTCTGTGATCTTCAGACACCTAGCCATCTTGCCAGTGTCGTCTGTGGGGCATCCCACCTTCTCAGCAATCTAGGGAAGGCAGAGGCAGGAGGTTAGAGGAGGCAGTGGTCAGGCTCGGAATGGTTGGGGCAAACAGAAGAGCCAGGACAACATGGGAATGAGAAAAGTCCCCACCCTGGCTACCCCTGCCCTGTTGTTGCACTTACCTTTTTGGCCCAGAAAAGTGGGTTCTTCTGGATGGCCCAGGGGCTCAGTGCCACACCACTCTGACTGATGGCTCGCCGGATGAGGCCCTTGTTGTATGGGGAGAGGGTCTGCAACACCCAGAAGTCCTGTCAACAGGCTGCGCCCTGCTCTGACCATTATCCCAGGCCCCACTGGCCCCCCTCCCTTCATCTTGGGGTCAGACTCCACAGCAGAGGGCGCCAGACCTGCAGAGAGACACTGGCACCTCCGGCAGACTCCCCAAAGATGGTGATGTTATCAGGGTCGCCCCCAAAGGCTGCAATGTTCCTCTTCACCCAGGCGATAGCCATGTGCTGATCTCGAAGGCCAAAGTTACCTGAGGGTAAGAGGAGTAGCCTTCATCAGGAGGGGCCCTCAACTAGAGTTGGAGGAGGCTAGAGATGAGGGTGGCAAGTCATGTGGGCAGGAGGGAACCAGTCCTAACTGCATCGACACCCTGGGAGAGCCCAGGATGGCAAACTGGATCTCCAGGAGGCTGAGCGGAATGCAGGGCTGGGCGGCACAGTAAAGCCGGCTGGTGGCTCTGCTTAAGTCCTACATGTGATGCCTCCTACCGTCCGTCTGTCCTTTGGCTTCCCTGTCCACTCGACTCTACCTCAGCTTCCCTCTTGCTCTCCAGGACTCAACTTGTGTGCCTGTCATTCTTTTGTTTGTTTGTGTGTTTGTTTTTCGAGACAGGGTTTCTCTGTGTAGCTTTGAGCCTTTCCTGGGACTCACTTGGTAGTCCAGGCTGGCCTCGAACTCACAGAGATCCGCCTGGCTCTGCCTCCCGAGTGCTGGGACTAAAGGCGTGTGCCACCGCTCAGCTGTGTCTCTGTCATTCTATCGGTCCCTTGGTCTCTCTCATTTCCTGATGGCTGCCTAGAGCTCCCAGGTCTCATAATTCAGCTCCAGTCCTCCCTGACTCTGAAGAAGGTTCTGGGTCTTCCCGTAGCTGTCAGGGTAGAGGGTTCTGGAGTGCATATATCTGCTGGGTTCAGAGTTCACAGGGTTCAGCATGTTCACTGTTCCAATATACCTGGAAGGTTGGCATCCCCGGTGCTAAGGAAACCCAAGGGTCCAACACGGTAGTTAAAGGTGACCACGATGACGTTGCCCCGAGTGGCGATCTCTTCCCCGTCATACAGGTAGTTTTTGAGGACATTGGCCCCCTGGCCAGACCCCATAAGGAAGGCACCTCCATAGATCCAGATCATCACAGGCAGGTTCTGGGACACTGAAAGGGGGAGACAGGGACTTCAGACACTAGCAGGCCCTCTCCCTAGCCAGCTCATTAACCGTGTTAGAGCAGGTGCTCAGCCCAGGCTGCAAGGATCAGCAGTGGGCACCCCCTCCTCGCCTCAGCCCTGATTTCAGGTATATTTGGCTTTGCAGCACCAAATGCACCCCAGGGCAGGCTTTGAAGCTCTGGGGTGGGGTTGGGATCCTCTGGGAAACTGTGATCCAGACCTTGTTTCCTGCCCTGAGGGACCCAGATATTGAGGTAGAGGCAGTCTTCTTGCCCATAGGTGTTGTCCTGGGTGATGGTGGCCTGTAGGCATCGTTTCTTGAAGTCCTTGGCCTTCAGGGTTCCTACAGTGAGAGAAGGGGCAGATGTGAAGAGTACCAGCTAGGGCCAGCCTAGCGAGGGCCAGCCAGCACCCAGTACCCACCTTGCCAGCCAGGGTGACGCTGGGGATTCTCCAGGGTCTTGGCGGTGGCAAAGGGGATGCCTTTGAAGATGTCAACCGAGTCACCACCCAAGAGACTGAGCTTCTTGTTGTTGCCCTCCACGAAACCTCCTTCTGTGTACACAGCACCCAGCTGCAGGTGACACATAGCAAGGTCAGATGGGCTTGGGCATGGTTAGCCTGAATCCAGAGTGGCTGGCTGAGCCGTTTCCAGGGTGCTAGCAGGTCCCCTGCCAAGTGCCAGAGAGGCTGGTTCACCCCCACCCAGTGCTGGCACATCCTCCTACAGCTGTCCGAAGCTCCTCCAGCCCATATTCTGCTCAGTTGGAGTGATGTCTAGATCTTGGCTGAGACCTGGTATGTAAGATGGGTCACAGTAATTTCCCCCCAAGGCTGGCTGTCAGAGGGAAGGCCTGTCAAATGCCGACCGTGGTGGATGCTCAGTGCTACCAGAATGTTTCTGAAACCTGACTCTCCTTCCCTCACCTTTCCCATTGCCTAGCTAGCTGGGCATGGATCTGGTGGCCCCATGTCCAAGCCCTCACAAGGCCAATCAATACTGCCACTTGGTGTCTAGTCTTTTTTTTGTTTGTTTGTTTTTCGAGACAGGGTTTCTCTGTAACAGCCCTGACTATCCTGGAACTCGCTTTGTAGACCAGGCTGGCCTCGAACTCAGAGATCCACCTGCCTTTGCCTCCTGAGTGCTGAGATTAAAGGTGTGCTCCACCATTGCTCTGCTGGTGTGTAGTCTTACCAAGTGGCCTAGAGGCAGGTGCTCATCTGCCCACTGTCCCTGCAAACTGAGGTGCGGGGCTTTCCCACTCAAAGTCATTCTGCTGAGACAAGGCTGTCCAACATCTGGGCCAGTGCATGTCCCCTCCCATCCTTCTTGCATTTGTCCAGGACACATGCAGGAGCAGCTCTGCTTCCCTGGCAGCAGTGATAGTGTGGCCTCCTGCTTTTCCCCTGTGCAAGGTTTCAGGTAGAGGGAAGTAGGCAGCCTGAGGCTGCAGGCCCAAGCTAGGATCCCAGCAACCCTGGGAATCTGAAGTCCATGCCCATGAGCTCCCTACTATCCTGGGTGAGGAAACTGGACAGAGGAGTTGGGCAGACTACACAGACAATTGGGGCATCCGAGGTTCCTTGTTTCAGCCTCCGGGCCACTGGGAGGAGTCTAAAAGCCAGCTTAGGGGGGGATTAAGTCGGGGGCGGGGGGAATGTCACCTCTCAGTGTGTCTGTGTGGTAGTGGTTGACCCGAGTGTCTCAGGTGGGGACTCAAGGATGTAGAGATGCTGGCCAGTGTGTTGGCTGGCAGCAGAGAAGTGGTGGGAAAGTTCAGGTCCTTCTAACACCCTAAAAGGACTCTCAAGAAAGATAATTACTTCTTTCCCATGGCGGGAGCCCAGCACCAGCACCTCAACTTCCAGGCTCCAGGGGAGGGAGGGTGGTCTCTGGGGCCCAAGACAGCACGACAAGGGTTGGAGCATGAGTGGGTTGGAAAGCAGCGTGGTGAGGAGCTGGGGCCGTGCAGGGCCTCATGCCGTTCTGTGACTTGTCCACACACAAGAGATGGAGAATGATGGTTCAAGGGCAGACTTCAGAGGCGCTCCAGAAGAGCTGGGGCAGCCTCCTCAGGGCCCTTGGAGGGGAGCTTTGCATACAGCAGGTAGGGTTCTCCCCTCTCAGGAAGAGCAGGAAATGGAGGTTACTTGGGAGTCAGGCCCCTGATGTGGAACAGACATTTCAGATTCCTGTTCAAGAACAGGACGGGGTTGCTGTGTAATGTCAGGCAAGCTGCTTCTCTCTCTAGCAGGGGTGGGGGTGGGGTCTTAAGAAGGGGAAAAGCCAGAGGTTGTAGGTAGGCTTGCCAGACTTAGGCCCACCTGAAACCACAGAGCAATAGTGGGTTTTTTAGTATAAATGCTCCAAATAGTGCACAGGATGTCCTTACATGCAGAACTGCTCCTGGTGTGAGATTTCAGTACAATTCTGCATGCTGTGCTAGGCTTCCCATGAACAAGACAAGCTGGGTGTGGCCCAGGCAGGACCAGAGCTTGGAGCGCTGCTGGGCTTGCTGGCCTTTTACTCCCTCCCTTTCTGTGACCTCTCTGTCTTCCATACTCTAGACACTGTCCCCAGTTTCCAGATGTTAATGAAAGAGGGCCACAGTCCCCTCTGGCTTACCTTTGCAGCATAAGCTGCTGCCAAGCAGCAGGCGAGGCCAAGAAACAGAACCTCCAGGCGCCCCATGGTGAGTGTCTGCCTCTAGGCAGTCCTTCTCGCCACTTCTCCAGTATTTATGGAGCTGGAGCCAAGGTCGTGTGCACGCCTACCGTGTACTCACAGACGCACAGGTGTGGGGTGGTCTGTTTTTCCCAGGTCCTTAGTGGTGCCCATAGGGCACCTGTGTGGGTTACTGCCTACCTGGGAGCAGAGGCAGGTGGCATGGCTAGTGAGGGAAGGGCCTCCAGGGCCAGCCCTGGCTGGGTGCTGGGTGTCCTGCATTCTGTCGTATTAATTCCGTCAGTTTGGGGTTTAGTGTCACCTTCAGAAAAATGGTGTGCTTCATCTCAAGTGCTGAATGCCCCTACCTTAGTGGGAAGTCCACGAGGGACTCCCAAGCCAGAGGTGGCTGTGTGCTACTAGGCACTGGTGTGGCTGACCCTTGGTCACTCCAAGAGCTTGCACTAAGGGATGTGGGGCAGTGCAGGCTGAGCTGACGGCTGGAGGCAGAGTCTCCTGGGAGGGGAGGACAAGAAACTCCAGGCGGACATGGTGGCACAGATGGAGCAGGGCTACCAGAGTGAAACCTAGTGTGGCCCCAGGGCTTGGGGGCACCTCCAGATAAAGAGTCTATTTCACCTCTGTGCCTTGCTGGAGGTTGGGGTGGGATTCCCCACAGAACACAAGCAAGGATTCTGGGGCACACACAGGTAGAAAGAGACAAAGCCTGGGAGTAGAAGTGCAGAAAGAGGGAGGGAGGAAAGAAGAGAGGGAGGAGGAAAGTACTGGGCTTGGAGGCGAAGGCCAGTATGAGAACGGCCACCATCCTAGGGATGTGTACTTTGGCTACCAGGAAAAGATTATCAGTGACAGACACAACTTTAAGGAGTGCAGTTACCTTGGACACCTGGAAGGCATGGCAGCTGGCCAGGCATAGCCAGTCTTCCCAGGCCGGTGGCCCTCACATCCAGGAGCCCAAGCCCCCAGCTCAGAGCACAGGGGACCCTTCAGACCCACATGCACCAGTGCGTCCATGTGTTGTGCCCAAGCCAACATGCAGATCTCCATGGTGCACAGTAGGTGTGCAGCTCTGAGAGGGCAGGAAGCTGGGACACAGCAGAGGTGGAGTAGCAGGAAACACACAGGTTGTGTTTGTGCCAACTACTGATTCTGAGAAGCAGTGCTAAAGAAAGCAATTCTGTACTGGGTTGAACAATGCAGGGTAGCTAGGAGAACAGGACGGGGAAGCAGGGGACAGAGGAAAGGGCCTCTTTGTATCTAGCGTTGAGAATACTTTTAGGTTCACAGCAACACTGAGCAGGAAGGAGAGTCCTCATGTCCACTTCCCCAACACTGGAGTGGCCTGTATCTACAGTGACAGACCCAAAAGGACACATCTCTGTCACACACAGCCAGTAGTGCCAGCTGCTGCTGACACTGGATGTATGTTTTTTATGGCATGTGGAGTTCTTTATGGGGAGATTCTAGGTTCACAACTGGATGTTCACCATCCACAAGCTCCCCAAGGCTGGGCTGAAAGCATCAAGGTCAAGTGATAGGACCACACAGAACATTAACCCCACTGACATAAACCATTCAGGATTTAGGCAGGTGTTTTAAGGATGGTTGATTTTTGTGGGGGAGAGAAAATTTTTCCTCAAAAGCGAAATCCACCAACACTGGTCCCACAAAAAGCAGAACTACAACCACAACTCAGGCCAGGGCTGCTGCTGCCACTCCCCAGCTGTGTGGCCTGAGCCTCAGTTTCTCCAGAGAAGCTCTGACAAGGAGCTCCTGGTACAGCAAGTTGCAGGGTCTGCAACTCCCTTTCTTGTTTACATGTGCCCTGGAAGAGGTGCTTCAACTTTGTTCTTAGGCAGGAGACAGGCATAAGGATGCAGTGAGGCCAGGTGAGTCAGTGAGTGGGGTCTAACCTGTGTGAGCGCAGTTCCCTTCAGGCACTGGCCTGCAGGACTCACCTCAAGCACAAAGAGAAGAGAGGCTTAAATGACCCCAAGCAGCCTTCCAAGTTTATCATGTTACTTTGTCTAATTATTAATTGTTAAACGTACGTACTTCAATGATTTGTTATTTTAAATTATGTGTATGTACCTGTATGGAGTATGCACACACGAGTGCAGGTGCCCCCAGAGGCCAAAGGGCCGCTGGAAAGAACTAGAAATTACTGGAAATTGTGTTAAGTGCGGTGATCAACACCAGGTATTAACTTGACTAACATGGTACCCAGATATTTGGTCAAGGTGGGCATGGTGGTACACACCTTCAATCCTAGCACTCAGGAAGTGGAGGCAGAAGGATCGCCGTGAGTTCAACATTAGCTTGGTCTACATAGTGAGTTCCAGGACAACCAGGGACCTGAGAGAGTTTGTCTCAAAACAAACAAACAAACAAGCCACCCAACAACAAACCTAAAACATCTGGTCAAACATTCTGATGTTTCCGTGAGGCTGTTTTTTGGATGAAAAGCTGTTTAAATCAGTGGGTGTTGACACGACAGCTTAGCCTCCATGTGGGTGGGTTTCATGCAGTCTACTGCAGGCCTGAGAAGGGGGCGGGGCAGCCAGCATGCTGCCTTTGACTGCAGCCTTTCACTGACTCTCCGGACGACACAATGCCCTGAAGACTGTGGACCTGTACCTCAGCTGTGAGCCAACTGCCTACAATTAATCCTCCAGTTCTGCAGAATCTCGGCTAGCAAGTTCCAAACAGCACTGCAGTTCTGTTAGAGACGAGTGTGGTCTTTTCTCAAACACAGTCAGCAAAACACAAATAGAGAACAAGACAGGGGTGCAATATGCACCAAGACTCAGCAACCGTGAAGTCAGATGATGGGTCGTCAGCTGCGTGAAACATCAGCGCTTCTGAGGGAGTTTTACATTTGTTATACTAAAAGCACTTTTATTTACATGGGAATTCAGGAGAAGAATCACCCTACTTTGCAAAATGTGGCTAGACCTCAGGAAGTCCTTCTTGTCTGGCCAACCTAAGGCAAGACTACCATTGCCCTGGGCCCTGTGTGGGCAAGGCCTTCAGAGGGCATGGGGTTCCTCGCTCAGCGCCTTCCTCAGATCTGCAGTCAAGGCATTCCTGGGTAGATGGGACAGAACCTAGATCTCCTCCCCAAAGACCAGGCTGGGCAGCAGCTCAGAAGTGGGAGTACTCCCAGCTGAGGTGTCTTGGCAGCTGCTGTGACAGAAGTCTTGTGGGGGACAGGCAAGGGTGGCCAGCCTCTAGAGAAGAACTACTTCCTGCCTCTGGGCTGAGCATTCTTAGAAGCAGCAGGAAGCAGGGTCAGCAGGGGACACAGGGATGTCCAGCTGCTCCCCATTCCCAGGGGTGCTCACTTGGGCCAAATGAAACACTGGGTGAGGACAATCTTGTCAGGAGGATGGGCTGGCTTGAGGCATTTGGCTTTGGAATTGCTGTGACTTGACCGTGTATGCCAAGCTGTTCAAGGGACAGAGGCCACAGAGAAACAAGGCAATGGTGCATCTCCGGCTCAGCACCCTTCAGGAAATGGTGCTGCTGCCCTGGGGCTCGGAAGGCCATGCATGGAGGAGCTTTCCAGAGAGGTCAGCTTGGCAGGGACGTGACCGTCTCTGGTTTCACAACAGGAAGCTGTGGGACAACGGGGTGTTTCCAGGAACTGAAGAGCCGGTCCATTTGGTGAAGTCAGGCTGCCAGCCTGAGGTTGCCCAGTGCCCTCATCTCAGCACCCTGGGTGGGTGGGGCACAGGCTTGTCCCAACTGTCCCATTGTGGTACACCAGCATGTCCTGAATGAATGAATGAACAAATGAGGTGCTAAAGAGCCTCAGGCGAGAGAAACAGTCCCACCTATAATCCCCCATGCTGAGACACCCAGACGCCTAGGAAATTCATTAACAGGACAGTTATGGCTGGGCCTGGCTTTTACCAATACTACCCCAGACAGATGGTGTCCAACCAGGGGTCATCTGGCTGTCTGTGATGACAGACCAGGCTCCTCAGGCCATCTGTCACTACATTCACAAGACTCTGCCAGAATGGGTGCCCCCAGCTTTACCACGCCCATCTCTGGCTTTTGCTGGTCTTTGCCTTGGGTCATCTGCATGGCATTGGGGTCGTCTTCAAACACCCAGGGCAGAAGGCAGTACTAAGCAGTGGGTCACAACCAGAGCCAGGGTGCTATGGGATAATGCTCTTATACACCGTAAAGATATGAAACTCGAATTGGTTTAGTAAAATGTTGATTGGCCAGTAGCCAAACAGGAAGTATAGGCAGGGCAAGCAGACTAGGAGAATTCTGGGAAGAGGAAGGGTATTCAGGAGTTGCCAGCCAAAGGCAGAGGAAGCAAGATGAGAACGCTAAACTGAAAAAAGGTACCAAGCCACATGACTAAACAGATAAGAATTATGGGTTAATTTAAGCGTAAGAGCTAGTCAGTAATAAGCCTAGGCTACTGGCTGAACAGTTATAATTAATATAAGCTTCTGTGTGGTATTTTGGGAAGTGGCTGCTGGGTATTTGGAAATTGTTGGTGCAACAGAAACGTCTGCCTACACCAAGGCCTGCTTGTTAGGACCCCAGCTTTCTTCAGAGGTGTGTGCCTCTAGGGCCACCCTCACTATCGTGACCTTGCTCTGGCTTCTTTGAGGACAGTTGCTAATCTTACCTGGTTGCCTGGGACCAGCACTATGTCACACATAATCTAGAATCTCTGTCTCCATCTCATTTTCACTCCCATCTGAGGGCTTGAAATCCTCCTCTTCCTCCTCCTCCTCTTCCTCCTCGCCTTCCTCTCCAGACTCAAACATCAGCTGTCCTTTTCCACGATCAGCCTTACCTGGGTCGGAGAAGAGAGCTGTGCAAGAAGGAAAGAAGACTGTGTCTCCCAATGCTGGCTCCCAGGGGTCCTAGAGCACATTTACTACAGCAGGTAGTGGTCCTGAAGAAGCTACTATGGAAAGAATGAGGGTGGAGACCCAGGAAGGTGAAGCCTCACAAGGCATTTTTGAAGGCATTTTCTGGAGAGAGCCATGAGCAGCCTGGGACCCTATGTAACTTCAGAGGGCATACACCATTATTCCCAGAAAAGGTTCACAGCCTTGACTGGACGCCCAGAGATTGTGCCCATGTCCCCAACATAGCCAGGAAGCCTGCTCTACTCCAGTGCCCACTGTCTACCTTGGAAGGAGTCCCTTGCAGACCCCCTGCCCAGCGAGTGCCTCACTTTCCACTGCACCAGGGGCTAGCCCTGGTTTGGTTTGAAGAAGGAGCTAGGGGATGCAGTGAGGGGCCATGGGCCCCACAGGAGGAGATGATGGGCAGCATGAGGGTCTCCGCTGTTGTCAGCAACAGGTCTGAGGTTTCCCTGCACATGTGGCTCTCACCAGGCCTCTCAGAGCGGATGGTCTGCAGAATCATGAGTGACATGGTGTCCCTCAGGTGGTCGGTGGTCTTGGGGAGACACCAGCCATCTCTCTCTGTGCACACACTCTCTGTCCCATCATTGCGGTGAACAATTTTCTGCAACCTGCGGGCAGAGGAGGCTGTGTGGGCAGAGTCCAGGGACAGGGCTCTATGGTGAGAAACGTTACAGAGCCCCAGAGTGTGGCTTCATGTGGTGGCTCCATGTGTGGTGGCTCATGGGACAGAGTTCCAGCACAGCTCTATGGGCATGGGTTTGTGGGAACAGGATGCCAATGGGGAGGCTCTTACACAGGCTCTGTGTGACAAACAGTGCTCAGAGGGAAGTCTCAGAGGTGGTGGGTAACGAAGAGCTTGCAGGGATGAATGGTTCCAGCTGGGTTCCTTAATATTTTGCTGTCTCTGAACAGCACCATACCCCACCCAAAAAAACCCCAAAGCCAAACCAAGAACTAAAAACTGTAGAGAGCTGGGTGTACCCCAGGCCCACTTCTCTGCTAACAGCCATGCTCCCCCTAGACCCCACACACTGCTGTTCCTTTCCAAGCTGTGCCCACTCTTGTCTTCTAAACAGGTGTCCAGATCAGGAGCCGTGTCAATCAAGGACATGCCCAGGGAAAGACTCTAGCAAAAGCAATTGTTACTAGCAAGCAGGGCTGCTTTCTCCAGGGCACAGTGCAGCCACAGTTGTTGGTTCCTGCCTTCTAGCCCACTTGGCAGGACCAAGGCCAGCACCCAACTCCCGGTGCCATAGTCTCCCTTAGAGCTCACTGCAGGGAGAGCTGCAGAGAACACTGGTCTTGTTCTAGTGAGTTCTAGCCCAGAGTCCCACGGGCCATCCGTGGCACAGGACCCCTCATACATACTCCTCCACGTTCAAATCACACAGCTGGTAGAACATCTGTCGATAGGGTGGCAGAGCCCCTTCCCGGAAGATGTAGACTGAATCCTGAGGAAAGGAGGGGAGAGAACAGGATGGTTATGCAGACCCCTAGGGTCTAACAGTGCTGAGGACAGCCATGCTGTGGCTTTCACGGGAGTCTATGGAGTTGGCTTGTCCCCAGGCCCAGGGTGGCCAGCAGATGTGGAGAAAGGAGGCTCTCACTCCCCAGGAAGTTCTGGAGGGTGGAGGCAGTCAGGCCCTCCTCAGACCCCTGGGAAGCCTGCCGGTTTACAGCATGGGGCTGCCACCAGCCTGGACTGGGCTCTGCCTTCTGCACCTTCCAAAAGGATCTGGTCTACTCCTCACCAGCTGTTTCTAATTAGTCACTCTGTGTGCCCCTGCATGCTCCCTGGACTGCTTTTTGGGGAGGAAGGCAGGGTTTAATGAGTATCATTTTCTCTTTTTTCCACTTGGAACATAGCCTTGAAGTCAAGGATTAGGTCCCAAGACGTTGACAGCCAAGGCATGATGGCACTAGAGGGATCAGCTGTCTCCCTCATGTCGCCTATCTCTGCTGAACTTAAATTTTCAGTCACAGCCACTCAAGCAGGACTTCAGGGTAGAGAACACACGATCTTGGCCTCTCCCGGGACTGTAGAGGGATCAGAAGAAGTGTGGGAGTGTGCTAACCACTGTGGGGTGATACTGATGAAAATATGAGCCCTGGAGGTCTGGGTCCATCCCATCACACATGTCAACCCACAGCTGAGCCCCAGATGTTCTGGTCTGGCCTGTGCTCATGTCTACGCCCGAGTCCTGTCATCTTGGCAGCAGCTACAGGCCTTAGGGAGCCAGGCTCACCAGGGGCCACCACACATCTGCTGGTGTCAGATGTCCTCTCCAGGACCTGTCACCACCTCTTTGCCCAGACGGCCCAAGTTCCTCATGGCCTTGGGTAGATGGCACTCCAAATTCTCATTTTGTTTCTGGAGGGGTCTGAGGTAGGAGTAATGCAAAGGCACTTGGTAGGCAGAGAGTTGGGTCAGTCAAAGATCCTTCCCAGGGTCACAAGTGCCCAACCCTGAAAAGATGCTTTATCCCCACACCTGACCTTCCACTAGAGCCTGAGGGCACTTACCTTGAGCTTGTACTTATTGTAGGTCAGTTTCCGTGGGCCGTCTGTTCCTGATGGGCCCAGGCCCTGCTTCAAGTCATGCATGGTGACAAGCTGGTTGGCTACATGGGAGCAGGGAAGTGCTTTGGTTTGGAGGGAGTGGGGACCACCCTGCCTGGCCTTTTGCACCTGTAAGGAACGGCCAGCAGACCTCTCCCACCTCCCTTGGCCATGTCCTGATGCAGGCAATCCAGTCACTTACATGTCTTCTTGACAGTGATGGGGAGGCTGTAGTTGTACGTGCTGCGCT